TGATTCAGGAGTCTAAGCTGATGGAGTTTGATAGGAGATGGGCTAGATCGGTGTGGAAAGTAAGGGGCATCAATTGGGCTTTTTRTCCTTCGTGGGGAAGGTCAGGAGGTTTAGTGACAATGTGGAAAGAAGAGGTTTTTGAGGGAGTGGAGAAGCTGATTGGGAAGTTTACTGTTTCTATCAAGTTAAGACACAAGGTAGATGGATTTGAGTGGGTATCAACTAATGTGTATGGTCCAACTGGTTATAGAGAAAGAAGTGAACTTTGGGAGGAATTAGGAGACATTAGAGGACTTTTGGAAGGCCCTTGATGTTTAGGAGGAGATTTCAATGTCATTAGATTAATAGAGGAGACTAATAGGGTGAGGAGAGGCGGTAGCACTATCATGAGAAGGTTTAATAGCTTCATAAATAGTTTTGAGTTGAAAGAGGTTCCTCTACTACATGGTCTATTTACTTGGTCCAATCTCCAAGAGAACCCTATATGCTCTAAGTTGGATAGATTTTTATTCACAGTAGATTGGGAGGAGCATTAGGGGGACTATTATTTCTAGAGCATTGCCTAGTGAAGGGATGAGAGATCCATCGTATGGACGCCCAAATCTTGCGGAATAGAATGGGCGAATTTCAAAAAATTTCTCTCCATCCTACTGGGAATCATATCCCCTATTTTAGAAAAATCATATTTTTCAAGGATCAATCTTGAACCAAGAACCGAACCAAATCTGAACGAAAGCAGTAGGAGAGGGATATACCTGATACGGAGAAATAGTATCTCCCAATGGAGGTGTTCACGCCCAAGGAAGGAACCAAAGACTGTTCCCACTGAAGATGGCGTAGTGCAGGATGGAACAGAATCAGCAGCGTTCTTCAAAAGAACCAGATCCTTCGCAAGAATCAGCTGGACGACACGTGAGCACTACTTCCAATCAGTCCTTTCACAAAGAACTGATATCAAGATCCAATCTTGATCGCTCCCACTAACAAGAGGAGATCGAACTGGCAGATAGGGCGGCGGCAAGAGAGATTAGCGCAGTGACACTGAATTCTCTCTTCTGTGATTTCAGCTCTGAAGACAATGTGTGTTGTGTATTTAAAGGCTGCCGCCCCTTCCTCCTTTTATAAGCTCAAAGGGATCAGCTCCTAATCCCATTAGGAGTTGCTGATCCAAATCATATTTGGATCAGAATTCCCTTTAAGTGATAAGGGTAAACCCTTATCTTATCTACAGATTAGATCAGCCCTCTTCTAATCTCATTAGGAGGTTTCTAAATCTGCTAATCTAATCTCAG